AATAATTAGGTGTGCATTGTAAGGCCTGTCTGAACTGTTCTTAGATATTACACATCAAGTGACCTCAGGGATAATTTGTGTTAGTGCTCAGACAGATGGTGCTTATGATGACTCTTTTTAGTACTCCTTTTATATTTCTGTTGAAAAGTAGGTGGAACTATGACAACTCAATGCTTATCACAAGCATCACTTCATGAGTGTGCGTGTGAGCCTTCACACTTTAAAAAGCAGTCTCACCTGTCAAACCTCAGTAAAGCTCAACACTTGTCACCACGAACTTCACAAGATCCTAAACAAGAAACGAAGACAGAAGCAGAATGAGTGCCACAGCACTGCAGACCACAGGTTTTGTAGCAGGCGCCATCGGTACAGTTGGAGTTCTTGCTGCCACAGTTATGGATGTTTGGTGCACTGAAGACCAGCAGGAGCACCAGGCAACTTCCATCCACCATTATAAGGGCCTGTGGAAGGACTGCGAGGTGTCCCAGTCTGGACTCACTGAGTGCCAACATCTCTACAGCTACCTGAGCTACTCAAGTAGGTTGACATAATGAGATTTTCTGTGTACAAACCCAAAAAAATGACATCCGAGTCTATTTCTGAACCTAACATTGAGACGTAAGCAGAGGCGGACTTACCCATTAGGCAAAGGTAGGTGACCGCCTTGGGCCCCCAAAAGCCAAGGGCCCCCTAAAATGCTTTTCATATACGAGATGCGCATTAAGCGCTGACATGAGAATGGTTGCTTTTTACAGTGTTTATCACCACGACAACCGAGTTGAACACACTTCTCGTGTATCCTGCTTGTAGCAAATGAAAATATCATGTATCTGAAGCTGTAATTAAATATTGCGCAACAGTGCATATTATATGTTTATTGTTTTAAATGCCATTTACTCATTTATGAGAAGGACCCAAGTAGAGGACGCATTTGCAGTTACTTGTTTGGTTGATATAATCCTTAGGTGTGTAAATGTATAATTTCCATTTCATTATTTTTTCATTTTCATTTAAATTTGTAGTTAAAATAAGTGTATTTTAAAGTTTAGAATTAGACAACCTTTGGCACACAGGCTTATGCTGGTAACTCATCAGTGGACTTTCCTCCTCAATATAGGCTATATTTTTCTCATTCTCACTAATTCAAGTTTTTATATGAATGAATCTCTGAATGGTACCGACTTTTATCTGATAAAGTAGCATTTATGAGTGGAGCACTGCTTTGTTTACAGCCGTTACCGGGGAAACCGCTGTATTTCTGATGTTCCAAAAGCACCTCCTGCTGGCAGAGAATGAATGTGCATTTTCAATAATCCCATCTGCAGATTTTGTTCAGACCAATGCGAAAATCCACCCCCATAACCCCATTTTAAATTAATATCATAATTTATACTTCCACCTCATCTCTTTTCATCTCATCAAATTTTTTAATTTGTGCAAATATATAGGGCCCGATTCCTATATTTTGCCTGGGGCCCCCAAATCACTAAATCCGCCCCGGCTGGAAGTGTTGATATTTTTTTTCACTAAACTTTTCTTGTTGTGTGGCTGTGCACTGTTTGGGAACTGCTAGTCTAACAATGAAGGACAATAAGCAACGTTAAACGATTTTTTATATTTAGTTTTTTTTCTCCCAAGTCTCTGAGGAGGTGTTGTCATCTGCTCAAGTCCATACTTAAAGGGACAATTCACCCAAAAATGAAAATTCTGTAATTATTTACTCACCACCATTGTGTGGAACACAAAAGATATTTTAAAAAATGTTAGTAACCAAACAGTTTCAATTCTCATTAACTTCCATTATATTTTTTGACCACATAATCAATGGAATCCAACACTTCAAAATATCTTCTTTGTGTTCCACAGAAGAAAGAAAATAATACAGGTTTGTAATGACATGAGAGTGAGTAAATGGCAGAATTTAAATTTTTGGATGAACTATCACTATAACAATAAGTTTAGGACGAAATTAAACAAAAAGCATCAACTCAAAGACTTTAATGACCTTCTAATATTCTGTTTTTTTCCCCCTGTATTTTTTTCAGGAATCCTTCAGGCTATAAGAGCTCTGATGATAGTAGCAATTTTAGTAGGTGTGATTGCAGTATTCATTGGATTCTTCTGCCTAAAGTGCCTCAATATGAGATGTATGGATCTATTGACCAAGGCCAAACTGATGCTAAGCGCAGGGATTTTGTTTATCATTGCTGGTAATCAAAAGCTTATTATTACTCAGTATCTAAACTAAACCCCACTGATCTTTCAATTTGTTTCTATTATGTTTACAAACTGTTATTGTCACAATAATTCCCATTATAATACACATGGCCCACATAATCTTTGTTCTTTTCAGGCATTTTTGATATTTCTGGATCATCAGTGTATGCTGATCAAATAGTGCCCAGTTTCATGATGACCCAATACAATCAAGAGCAAGGAGAGAAGGAAGGAATACAATGTGGGAATGGCATGGGCATGGACATGGGAGGAATTAATTCATTTGCTTCCAGGTAAGATGATATTTTTTTCACTCACATATGATTCACATGTGTCTGTAAAGTGCTATGGGTTTATGTTAAATGTGAGCCAAAATCATCACAATTAAAAGAACCAAAGACTTAAACTACTTCAGTCTGTGTGCATTGGTTTTATTTAATACACGAGTTTCACAATTTGAGTTGAATTACTGAAATAAATGAACTTTTCCACGACATTCTAATTTATTGAGATGCACCTGTACATGCAAATTACTTGGTACCCTATTCTTCTTGAACAATTTGAGGGAAATGTAAAATAAAAAAAAAAGTAATTATGTGTGCTTACAGTTTGAGAGTTAACAGCCATTGGTTGGATCCTGGGGGGAAAAAATTATATATATATATACATACAATGCTGTTTGAACGTTTGCGAACCCTTTAGAATTGTTTATATTTCTGCATAAATATAACCCAAAAAATCATCAGATTTTCATGAAAGTCCTGAAAGTTGACAAAGACAACCCAATCAAACAAATGAGATGAAAATATATACTTTGTCATTTATTTATTCAGGTCTTATTCCTAGAAAATAAGACCCCAAATATATAAAGCACACACATTTAGCACAACAAATACACAACATTTTTAAAAGAAGGTTTTTTTTATATATAGGAGCTCCCTACCTATCCTCTCAAGCTGTCTGGACTGGAGATGTAAGGTGAGTTCTCCCACAGTTTGGCTCGAAAACATTTGGCAAGAATTAAAGAGTTGAGCTGAGCTGATAAATTCGATTTGGAGTGATGACTGAGAAACTCATTTAGATCTGGCAGAGATCAAGAGCAGCATTTTGTTAAATCTATGCTAAGTAAAAATTTACACAAAAATGTATTGCACATTTGCATTTTCATGGCCATGTCATCAGACAGAGAGAAAAAAAGCTTAAAGAGACACATGTAAGTAACATACATCTGCTGACTCGGTTTCCATTTCTGAATATTTTCCCAGTGTCCTGTATAAGTCCAAACTCCTGAATGGGGATGCAGCTAAACTGAGCTTGAATCAGACTAGGATGAGAAGACAACTGCATGCATAAATAAATAAACAAATATGCAAGCCATGCAATCAAAAGGTAAAACTGTACATCCAAACCGTAATTGCAAAACCTTACCAATTCACTTTCATGTCATTACTTTTGATCTTTCCTTCCACAGGAAACCTAAAAATAAAATATTACTGCTCACATGCTTTAGTCTACCTATTCAGTATGTTAGCTACACTGAAAAAAACACTTGGTGTAGAAACAATTTTCACTCAGAAATTGCTAATAAATTTCACAAACACTAATGAAGAAACAGCAAGTAACACTGAATTAAACATGAGAAAAACTGAAATTGTATTTTCTTGTAAAACATACTCAAGTGACCTTTGTTTTATTTACAACTTCAAAAAATATTATTTTACAGTGTATGGGTATTAGGTAGCTGAAGATAAATTTGACCTGATGGTGGTTCTGTTCTTATCCTTGTTCAACATGTTCAAGGTTTTCTTTTCATTTACTCTCAACTGCACATCACTAAATTCTTGATTCTAGAAATTCTAGAAAGTGAGAATTTTTTTTATATCATTATATGTTGTTCTGAAGCAGTTAATATCAATGGATCAGGAAATGTTGCAAGAACAACAATGCTTTCTTACCAACTCAGGTAACGTCTCTGTTCCAGTCACCCTACTGAACTGCTTCACAGTCTCAAAAGCAACACAGTACCTGGCCATGAGTTTTCCAGTCTCTGTGTGTGACCATTTAATTTATATGGACATTGCAACCAAAGACACATTTTTTGTCACTAAAATACTAATAAAAAAAGAAAAGGAGAGCTATATTAAACTACATATATTTTAAAGGAAAAAAGAGCATTATCAGTAACCTGTGGGCTTGATGTTAATGTCTTCATCCATGGTAATCAGGTTGAAAGAGGCCAAAGAGTTGAGGTTCTTCAAGCACAGCTCTAAAACACAGCGTAAATCATATTTACACAAGCTGCTCAGTCTAGTCAGTTTTTCAAATTAATTATTATGAACTGACTCACTTTTTCATACCTTGTAATTTAGTCTCAATTCCACATTTGTCAAGCTCAGGAGAAAACCTGCGACAAAATAAGAGAGACTAATAAAGAACAGCTAGCAGCAAGTTTGATGTTTGTAACATTAGGGTGGTCAAGGTTTAGGATCTACCATAGTGTTTGGGGTTTTTCAAAGTACGGATGTACAGGAAGGTGGAGCGGATCCAGTTTAGAGCCATGTTCACGTCAGATATGGTATGGAGAACTATCTCTGCATTCAAGTGCTCCACCAAGTTTGTATGCAAGCTGAAAATAGTAATTTTGTTATATTCATCACATACATAGATAGCACATAAATGGACTAGCCTATATAAAAAGTTTCGGGAAAATAAAAATTCTTCTGAGACTGAACAAAATGCGTTTATGATGGTTATATACCTGCTCATGCTGTCTATGCCACTCAAGAACTGTGTGTATTTTTCCTTTGTCTGAGATCGTGTCATTATCACTGCAGTTGCTGTTGTATTAAACTAAACAAAAGCCAAAGCCAGTGTGTGCAGTAGTCTCAATCTTAATACTGTAACAGCTGTATGTTTGCATTGCCAGTTGGGATTTAGCCTAAGTGCTTGAATTCTAATCACTGCCACTTATTTTATTTATGCATAATAAATGCATGTCTTGTAGGTTGGTTTGATAGGTACATGTCCTCCAATTGAAAACAATATAGTTAGTTTATTTCTAGATTATTATAACCCACACACATAAAGACTTTAGGGCAAATAGAGAACTCATAAAGTCATGCTCCGAATCGTTTTAGCATTACCTGAGGTCTGCCAGCTCTCCCAATCATCTGTAAATGGTCAGCTTCACTGTACTCTTCACATGCACCACCAACATAGTGCAGTGTAGATTTGATTACCACAAGGTGAGCTGGAAGATTCACACCCATAGCTAGGGTGCTGGTTGTAACTGGACAAGGGTTTTCCTATTCTTTTGTTTAATAATACATTATGTACTGAATAATCAAAACTAAATGAGTGAAAACATATTTGTAGAACTTACATAACACTGGCAAGTCACCCACAGTAAATGTTTGTTCAGTCACCTTCCTGTCTGACACATCCATGCCAGCATGATGATATCCAATGCCACAAATAAACAGATCTGGAAGAGGTATAAAAAATGTTTAGACTTTTAAAAAACAGTAGGCTTGATGCACACCGTCAAAAAACAGTGACCAATGTATTCATGAATGTCAAACAGCATAAGAAATCTAATTAACGTACACACCTCTGAGTTTTGCATCATGCAGAGAGTTCGCATATTTCATCAGTCTATGAAAGAGATTTTTGTGTTAGACAGAGAGATGTCCACATTAAGAGTATTCTTAAAAATACAGTTCAGATCTTGTAAAGCATCTTTGGTAGTTCAATCACAAAATGATCCAATATGCATTTTATATACATTTTATATATTATATATACTGCATCTATATATATAGTGCTTAAAGGGATAGTTCACCCAAAAGTTATATTAAAATTGACTTTGATCTTCCAAGCTGTTTAATGCAGTTCATCAGCCCAAAAGACATGAAAAAGCACATGCATCCATAATAAAAAAGTGCCTCACACGGCCCTGGTGGGAGAACAAAGGCCTCCTGTAGCGAATCGATGCGTTTTTGTAAGAAAAATATCCATATTCAAAACGTAATAACCACTTTAATCTAGCTTGCGCCAACAGTTACATGGAAGCAGTTCTGGGAGAATGACGTAAGATGTTGGCGTTGCGCACGCACCGGTGAGTCTCGTGAAAACCAACGTTTGTTTATAAGAGCAAAGGAAGCAAAGTTTCCTTACTTTAGCAAAGGAAAACCAGTCTCCTCTTGGCTTATATCGAAATCCTCCAACATTCTTCTTTACAAATCCTTGTTTTGTACTTCTAATTCGTGACCGTTGTTTTGTTTTGATCTCTCCGTTGCGCTTCCACGTTCGTCACTTCTGAGCGGCGAATGCGCAACGGCGACGTCTAACGTCATCCGCCCAGAGCTGCTTCCGTGTACAACAGTGAGCGCAAGCTACATTAAATTGATTATTACGTTTTAAATATGGTTATTATTCAAATCTTAACCAAACACTATACACTATAGGGAAACATAATACTGGTCTATGTAATGTTTGTTTAACAGAGGAATCAGTGGAACACACGTTTTGATGATATGTACAGCATATGAAAGAGAAAGGGATCGACTTAAAGATGAATTACAATCCTTAGGAATTAAAGAATTTTCATTAAGTAGTATTCTGAATGATGTTCCAAATGCAGGAAAACAAATAAGTGCTATCATGAGATTTCTTAAGAATTGTGGAATAATGAACAGAATATAAGATTTAGGTGAGAAACGGTACATTCTCATCACACTCCATCACAGTAGGTAGCGGTATGCACCTATGAAGTTGGTTCGCAACCCGCCATAAAACCAAAAGAAGAAGAAGAAGAAGAAATATGGTTATTTTTCTTACACAAATGCATCGATTCGCTACAGGAGGACTTTGTTCACCCCCCCGGAGCCGTGTGAGGCACTTTTTTTATTATGGATGGATGCACTTTATTTAACTTCTTTTGGACTGATGCACCGCTGACTGCCATTAAACAGCTTGGAAGATCAAAGACGATTTTTTATATAACTCCGACTGGATTCGTCTGAAAGAAGAAAATCATATACACCTAGGATGCCTTGAGTGTGAGTAATTCATGGGCTAATTGTCATTTTTGAGTAAACTAACCCTTTAACAAATTTATTAGACAACCTGTCATAATTCAGAGAGAAAACAAATGTTTTAGGAATCTGTCAAAAACTTTTTTTAAACTAAATTTTGTATTGTCATTCATTAGGAAAATAACAAACTGAGACAACTAAAGTGTCTTTCTTCACACATAACAAAAAAACGTATATATTTTATTTTGTATGGCCTCCGTTGTCCTTGATAACAGCTTGCATTCTTGCTGGCATTGTTTTTATATACTTTTCTAGTCTCTGTTGTTATTGACTTCCAAATAGTTTCTAGTTATATATACAGTTGTGGTCAAAATTTTACATACACTTTGTAGTATCTGCAAAATGTTAATTATTTTACCAAAATAAGAGGGATCATACAAAATGCATGTTATTTTTTATTTAGTACTGACCTGAATAAGATACTTCACACAAAAGACAATTACATATAGTCCACAAGAGAAAATAATAGTTGAATTTATAAAAATGGCCTCGTTCAAAAGTTTACATACACTTGGTTCTTAATACTGATAGTTGTTCATGAGTGCCTCGTTTGTCATGAACAGTAAAACTTAATTCTTCAGAAAAAATCCTTCAGGTCCCACAAATTCCTTGGTCTTCCAGCATATTTTGCGTATTTGACCCCTTTCCAAGAATGACTGTATGATTTTGAGATCCATCTTTTCACACTGAGAACAACTGAGGGACTTACATGCAACTATTACAAAAAGTTCAGCTCCAGAAGGAAAAATGATGCATTAAGAGCCAGAGAGCACTGTTCCCCAGCCAATGGATATTGATTCTGGGAGCAGTTTTTGAACATGCACTGGCCATACAGCGGCTTGCGGCCTTCTTTAAAGTTGGAGCCTCTCACCCTCTCAAGACGTTTCAGAAGATGCTGGGCCTGTTTCATATGCGGCCCCTTCAGTATGGTGCGTGGCTCTGGGAATGGTCTGCAGAAGTTGTTTTGACAGATGCGTCCAACAAGTGTTGGGGAGCTCTGTGTGATGGCAAACCGGCTTTCAGCCCTTGGTCAAAAGAGGAAGGTTGGCTACACGTCAACTGCCTGGAAATGCTGGCAGTTTGTCGGGCCCTTCAGACCTTCTTGCCAGACCTAAGGGGACACCACGTCCAGTCCACTCAGACAGCATGACATTGGTGTCCTATATAAATCACCAGGGCGGGCTCTCCTCGAAGCGCCTTTTCATTCTGGTGGAACGCCTCTTGGAATGGGCACAGCTCAACTTGCGTTCGCTGAGAGCAATGCATGTGCCGGGCAGGTTGAACCAAGGAGCAGACATACTGTCCCGGAGCAACGTCCCCTCAGAGCAGTGAATGTTCCATCCACAAACGGTTCAGTGAATCTGGGAGATCTTTGGGAAGGCAGAGGTCGACCTCTTCGCCTCAAAAGACAACTCTCATTGCCCAGTTTTTTCGAAGGACAAGGATGCGTTGGCCCACGACTGGTCCAACCTCCTCCTTTATGCTTTTCCCCCCATTCGCTCTGGAGGAACCAACACTGGTTCTCGGAGCTGTCTCGGCTGCTCATTGCAGTCCCGTGGCCCATTCGCCTGAGACGGATCTCCTCTCTCAGGCGAACAGAATGTTATGGCACCCCCAACGCAAGCTGTGGGCTCCACACCTCTGGCCTCTCGATGGGAGCCTGCAGACCTCCCTGAGAGCATTCTAAATATAATTTCTCAGGCTAGAGCCCCGTCTACGAGATGCCTTAAATGGTCGGTCTTCTCTGCCTGGTGCACAGCCCGCGGCAAAGACCCAACCTCCTGTGACATATCGTTGATATTGTCCTTCCTTCCTTCCTCTTAAGAGCCATCCCTTTGAGCCACTACAGTTGACCAACCTTCAACTCCTGTCGCTAAAAACCGCTCTGCTACTGGCTTTAGCATCGGTCAAGGGAATGGGGGACTTGCTCTGTGAGCCCTACCTGCCTTGAGTTCGGGCCTGGCGACCCAGGCATTGTTATGTACCTCTCCAAATAACCTTAAGTGTACCTTAAGTGCTCTCCACTTATTACATTCTCTGTGCTTCCTCCCTTGGAGGAGGACCAGGAGTTGAATTTACTCTCCCCCGTCAGGGTGCTGATAATTTACATTGAGCGCTCCGCCCCATTTAGGCAGTCGGAACAGCTCTTTATTTGCTTTGGTGGCTGCACCAAGGGTCATCCGGTCACAAAGCAGAGACTTTCCCGGTGCTTTATGCTTTTCCCCCCATTCGCTCTGGAGGAACCAACACTGGTTCTCGGAGCTGTCTCGGCTGCTCATTGCAGTCCCGTGGCCCATTCGCCTGAGA